GCATATGTATGTAGATTATTAATAAAAATCACTTTTGTTTGCGTTTGCCCCTATCACAAAACATAGAATAGGTACCACTTTACTAGTCTAGTAGTTTTATTTTAAAAGTGAATGTTGAGTTTTGCTATTAAATTTGAACAATATTATTTATTATTGTAAGAATTTATATTTATTGAATTGTGTGAATTTTGTTAAAATACTTATCAAATGAACTTATGTGAAATATTTTACTTATCTATTTAATGTTGAGATTTTTGTGATTTTATAAAAAATAAAAACGTTTTTCAATTTAGATTAATGTTTTAAATAAAAAAATAATGGAACGAAATACGTAATATTAAATATGCTTTTTTCTGTTTATTATACAAGTAAGTTTTTAAATAATATTCTGCAGTTTATTTTTGCGTAAATAGGTGTTTTTCTAAAGTTTTAAAACTGAAAGATATTATTACTGTTGAATAACCAGACGGTTGACTATAACTTATTCACTTTCTGCTGGTTTATTGGGTGTGTTCTGAGATATAACCAGCATGCCGACCAGTACTGATGACGTCATGAATCGACGCTATATTATACTAGACAAGTGTGACAGTAGTATATCTAACGGCCGTGTGTGCATCAAGGCTGAGGAATTTTCTGTTGTAAAAAACTAATAACTTTTGGAGCAAAATTGTTGTAAACGAGCACAAACACTATTCTCAATATGACGTCAACGCACTAGCCAATATATTTCTGAGTAAATCAACAGCATGGCGTCGATTCATGATGTCATCAGCGCTGGTCAGTATGCTGGGTTATATTTCGGAACACAGCCATTATTTGTTGGCTATTATAAGTAATATATCTGTGGTTCTCAAGGCAGACCATAAATAATAGATACACAAAGGGCAGGTCATGGGCAGGTCCACATTTAACCTCAAATTAACTATTTTACTTTTCCAACCAGTTACAAAAGTACATTCATTTTAATTTAAAAAAAGTTAGCTATTTCGACCTTTAAGAAAAAATGCTTCAAATTAAGATAGCTTTCAGTAAGTAGCTGTGGTTATACAAGATGCATATTCCAATTAAGGAATTTTGTAGGAATGGTTTCTTATAAGTTTATGTACTCGTCCAGCAGAACGTGTTCGACTAAGTTAGATCCTGATACACCAAAATTTGACATGGAAAATCCATTTTATAAAGAAAAAAAAATATGTATACTGTGCAAATATAACATTACACCAAACTATAAAAACATACGCTTACTTTCTCAGTTTCAATCGCCTTTCACGGGAAGAGTCTATGGAAGACATATAACTGGACTTTGTGAACACAAACAGAAGCAGGTTGAAAGAGAAATAAATAAAGCTCAAACGGCTGCATTAATGCCGTATTACTTAAAAGATGTTAACTTTTCAAAAGATCCTACACTTTTTAATGTTGAAAACCCTGTAAGACCTCATAGATTTTAATATAAGTTATTACTTTAGGCAAATATTGAAAATAAAGAATTCATATTTATAACACAGATACTTTTATTTCTATTAAAAAATATATTATTAACAAATGTTTATTGTCTCTAGTTACTAATAATACAAAATAACATTTTACACTTATTTAAAAGAGCAAGACTTCTTAATTGATTCAGGAATAACAATTTTATTTAATAAAGCTGAAGTGCTGCCATCAGCACAATCGACTTTTAATTCACAATGTAAATCGGTGAATGCTTCTTTAAATCCCTTTCTCCATATTTCAATGGAATTTTCCAATTTGTCTATATCATGCAGTTTTTTATATGTTTCAACCAATCTTAATTCGGCTAATATCCTTTCTTTCTCTTTTATGTGCTGTTTTTTAGCACACACGTTCTCATTTAATTCCTTCAAATAATCATGGCAGGTGTTAGAAAAGATTGATTTTGAGCGTTTTTTTTTTAATATAGATGCACATTCTTCCCCATCTGAAGAACCGATGCTGTTCCTTCTCTTTTGAGGCCTTGATTTAACTATTTCACAATTTTGTTCTTGCTTTTTGTTTTTGCTGTTTTCAACATCTGATCTTTCAATTGTTAAAGAACATTGAAGTAAATTCCCTATTGAACTTCTTTGAGAATTACTTGACTTTTGTGATAATGAACCAGAAGAAATAAAATCATCTTCAGAGTCAGAAGTTAAGGAAGATGCTTTCGAGGAAAAGAACCTACTCAAGCTTTTTCTAGTTGATTTACTTGCAATTTTTCTTTTTTCCTTCTTAGCATACATCTTGGACGATTCTTTTTCCTTTTTATATACGTTTTTGTCACTTATAATCTGACCAATATTTTCAATTGCTGTTTCCTTGAGTGTTTCAGATTTATTATGAATTAAAGAATTAACTGTGCCACTGTTAGCCTCTTCTTTTTTTGTTAATTTCTGCAAAATCTCTTCTTCAATATTTGTCAAAGCTTCTTCTTGTATATCTTGTCCATTAGTACTTATCTGTTCACTAAACCTTTTCTTCAATTTTGAACTTTCACATAACTGAGTCATAGAACTTGAAAATGCATTCGTTGCCGTTGCGGATACATTTAAATTGAAATTATTTATAGTTACATTTTCAGTACCATCTGAAGAGTTAAATGAAGTTTCTAATGTGGGGCTTACATTCAATCCATATTTAACACCACTTTTCCGAGTTAATCCCAAACTTTTGTTGCATTTATTTTTTTCTAATTTATATGAAGTATCTTCAGAGGCAGCAACAACTGTATTATATGGGGAGGAAGAACAACTACTAGCTGTGATTTTTTTAGAGGTATATGTTACGTTACGACTTAAACCTACTCTTTTACACGGAGTAAAAAAACTTTTATTACCACCACAATCTGTTTTACGATTATTACTTATTGATTTCTTTTCTGTAGTTAAAAGCATGTTATCTCGGCACAGTATCAGATCTAAGGAAACAAACTAGAAAATTTCTGATCAATTAATTAAGTAACACCAAATTAAAACAGAAAAAATACATAACCCAAATAAAGCAGCTACAGTTAACCTTCATAGTGATGTTATAGTGAATTTCATAGATAAGAGATATTATAGTAGTATTAAGCACCGACGTTTAGTAATGGACATGCCTTAGCGATCAGAATTGTGATACAACGAAAGAAAGAGATGGCACGAAGTTTCGGACAATATCCATTTCTCTCATGAAAGTGCGTGGGCGTGTCATGAAAGAGATAGCACTAGTCCGAAACCGCACGCCATCTCCCTCACTTTTCGAGACAAAAAATTATTACGACATACGGTAAGGCACGTCCATTAATATATGTCTATGTATATTATATGTTTCTAATCTATGGTGAATATCTAGTGAGTGAGTGTCCCCCTCCAATAGATGATAGAAATATATACTGTCAGTATCCTCTGATTAGTTCTGANCAGTTAACCTTCATAGTGATGTTATAGTGAATTTCATAGATAAGAGATATTATAGTAGTATTAAGCACCGACGTTTAGTAATGGACATGCCTTAGCGATCAGAATTGTGATACAACGAAAGAAAGAGATGGCACGAAGTTTCGGACAATATCCATTTCTCTCATGAAAGTGCGTGGGCGTGTCATGAAAGAGATAGCACTAGTCCGAAACCGCACGCCATCTCCCTCACTTTTCGAGACAAAAAATTATTACGACATACGGTAAGGCACGTCCATTAATATATGTCTATGTATATTATATGTTTCTAATCTATGGTGAATATCTAGTGAGTGAGTGTCCCCCTCCAATAGATGATAGAAATATATACTGTCAGTATCCTCTGATTAGTTCTGAGAATTTGACACCCGATATAAATAATCAAATGATGTAAACTTTATCAATAAATTGTGTGTGGTTTGCGGGTTTTAAATATGTTAGTATCAAATTTGTGCGTCTACTAGTTCTGTTAAAGAAAAATGAAAATTGTTTCGGATGCAAGTGGAAATTGAATATTTATTTATTCACACGACTCCCCTTTCTACCAGTCCACCATAGATACGATTTTTCTGTTCTGCTTTTTGGCGATTTTAAATTTATTGATTGTTCATTCTACTTACAACAGTAGTTCATTGTATATGGCCTGTACACTTTTTCATCATAATATCTATAACGGCAGCTATTTAAACTACCAGTAAAAATGTAATTTAAAATCATGTTAAACAACCGGAGTCTTACTTTACAACTGAAAAAAAGTTGACTAACCATAAATTTTTATTTATCTTATCCTAATCCTAATTAACTAATTATTAGTCACAAACAAAATAATGTATGGTACAAGCATTCACAAATGCTTGGCAAAGACGAAAATGTAGAAATTTACTTACAATATTATTTACGGTTTAGGTTTGTCATGAACAGTCAATGGACTACCGTTTTGCTGCCACATTTCTATTGATTGATTTGCTATAACATCTGCTGCATCATCAGAAATCTACAAAAAAGTAAATACATACATATATAAATTAAAACTTTACTTAATACTATATATTTGCTTTAGTTACGTTTTTTAGGTAGTCCAGGGCCTGGTTCAATGTTGTACAAGTGAGGAGTCTGTACTTCTGATTAATTAATAAAGAAATAACAGCAAAAACTAAAATTTTATTAGACCCACCGCATAACTTGTCCCATATTCTAAAATCATATAATTAAAAACAATTACCTGGCATATGGATAAATACTCACTTGGCCAATGCAGAATCATTCAAAACGCCTGCTAAACAGCTTTTATACCACTTTTCAAGAGGCAGATTATTCAGAATACCTTCACCTTGAAGATACTTATACAAGGCATTATCTTCCCTTTCTAGAATTGTACAAGTGCATTCTAAAAGTTTTGGAAAGTCTGTCTCGATCTTTATAATGTTTCCATAAAGGGATTTGGCAATCCAGTAAATATCAATGTCATCAGTAAAATGAAAGTACTCCATTAAACTTTGTACAATATTGATAAAGCCATAGTCCCTGTGATACTAAACTTGTGTTTAATGATTATACAGAAAATGTGTATGTAAAAGCAATTACCTGCGTGTTAAAATCATATCCTAAGTTTCCACTTTGCAATAACCACATGATAAGAAAGACTTGTGGTTTTGAAGTGTTTCCATCTACCAATCTCATAACTTGAACAACATGCAGGAGATCCTTAAATTCCTGATTTCTCTGTTCCATCACAAATTGTCGACAGTTCTCATACTTTGGGATTACATCTGAAATTGTTTTATAGATTTACTTTTTCAATTTGCAACTAGTCAACTGTAATACTACTTAATAATAATTTCCATACAGTGTTTCTGTAAATTGCAGGTACTGAAAATCTCAAGCAAAATTGTTTTAACTTTAAAATATCCACATGCTTATCCTTTAGTAAAATTTCGAGAGATTTTTTTTCTTCTACATTTCGAAAGCCTACTTTTTCGTAATAAGTTGAACGAAAATTACGTTCATCGGCAGTCATTATCTTCTTGTTCTCACTTTCTCAAACTTGAAAAGTGTGTTAGTACAGTACATAAACATTTATTATGATTATGTTTTTTGGTTTTAGTTAATTACCTTTAAAAAAATAAACAATTAGCAATACAATCTGTAGTCTATTGTAATATTCATAGATAATAATAATATAACACAGGCATATTATTTATTAAATTTAAAGATGTAAAGAAAAGGCTCGGCAACCAACAAAACATACGATTGATGGAATTAACATACATACGTGCATTCATAAAATTGTGTTATTGTCAAGTACTTGGATATATACTACTTTCATAATATTATTACAAAGTCATGGGTTATTGGCAATTAATTATTTCAATTAATGGTTACACCATAGATACTGTGGTCCGTAACCTTACTTACATTACATTCTATGATAAATTCATAATAAATAATCGTTTGATTGTTGAACGGTAGTTATTATCACTATTTTATGTTTCAATTTTTATTCTGTGTTGTGTATAATTATCTGTTTTGTTAACAAGTGCTGGATTATCAATTAACAAAACTTGTCCTGTTTGTCCTTTGCTTGTTTAATAAGGAAAGGTAATTTCCTACATCTTTAATTGCATGCTACTAAAGTATTTATTAGTACATAAGCCACATTTTTCATTCAAAAAAATAGATGATCACTATTGAAATAATTAACTTTCACTTTTATTTTCTATTAAATTATACAAAAGCAATGTACTATCAGATGTTCTTTAATTTACTTTCAATAAACGTGAACCATTCCGTATAAAAACGTCCAACATAAAATATACGTAAATAGCTGTCCAAAAAAACCGTTTGTTAACAAGCTTCTTCGAGAAATAAAGTATTTCTTCCAATTTGGACCGGCTTTTAATAACAACATTATCCACAAGCCGGTAATTGCAAAAATATAGAAACCTGCACCATTTAACCCAGTTAAACCTAATAAACCTGAAAAAATTATCACATATTTCTTTGTCGGTCATAATTTAAATACTTACCTGCTGTGCAGCCAGAAAGAGCTGCCATAGATGTCCTACAATATTCGACCACTGCTAAATTATTTCTTATTGCTGCTTCATTGTAGGCTGTGGCGGCTATATTTTTATCGTTTTTGATTTTAGTCATAATTACAATCTCAGATTTTTATAAATTGTTGTTTAACCTTATTTTTTTGTCTTTATTCACCAAACAGCTTACAAAAAAACAACAGTCATTAAGGATTCATATAATTTTGAGTTTTGTTGGTCGTTAATCGACGAATTAGTACTTTACTACATCTAATTGTGAAATAGTGTCTTGACGCTGGTATAGTATTCCACAAAAATTGTACATAGCATACCAAACGATTTTTACGGAATGTTTTTCAGAGAAATGTTTCCAGTTAAAGTTGGAATAATTGGGGGCTCAGGTCTTGACAATCCTGACATTTTTAAAAGCCGGAGCGAAAAGAGAGTCACTACAATTTTCGGAGATCCTTCGGATATTTTGATAGAAGGTACATTGGGAGACGTACCGTGTGTTTTATTAGCCCGTCACGGTAGAAAGCACAATATAAATCCTACTAATGTAAATTACCGGGCTAATATTTGGGCTTTAAAAGAAATTGGATGTACCCATGTAATAGTATCGGCCGCTGTTGGATCACTTCTCGAGGACTTCAGACCAGGCGAATTTGTCATTCTCAATAATTTTATAGATAGGACTACGAAAAGATTTTCGACTTTTTATGACGGACAATCGAAATCACCAAAAGGAGTAACTCACATCCCAATGGAGCCTGCCTTTTGTGAACGCACTCGACAAATAGTTATTGACGCTGGGCAATCATTAGGTAAAAAATAAGTGCTTCTTGATGGTTTATTTGTTAAAATAATTTATATTCTGTCGCAGGTTTGAATGTTCACGATGAAGGCACAATAGTGGTGATAGAGGGTCCACGTTTTTCCACCAAAGCTGAAAGCTTGATGTATAGACAGTGGGGCGGTCACGTTGTAGGAATGACTACAGTTCCCGAAGTTATTTTGGCCAAAGAAGCTGGGCTTTGCTATTCTGCAATCGCACTCATTACCGATTATGATTGCTGGAAAGCGGACTTTTCCGCGGTAAATGTTGAAAAAGTCGAAGAGACATTTAAAGAAAACGTTAAAAAAGTAACCGATTTAATAATTGAAGTAGTCACAAGAATAGGTAAAGATAATTGGGACGATACCATAAAAGAAAAACGAGATACAGTGACGAAGGCAAATATGATGAGAGAATAATTAATAACGTCTACAACACCTGCTTATCTTATTTAAATTTAATTGAAACGATACGAATCAGTTTATCATCGCGTTTCTTTCTTATAATATGTACTGTACTGTTTATTTTATTACTATTTTTTTTTTGCATATAAGATAAGCAATAATTTACAGACGCGCATCGCTAGAAATAATGAATGTTATTTTTAAAAAGGAAAAGGAATAAAATTTACCGAAACAAACTTTTATGTGATCTGAAATAATTCCAATACTTTCCTTTCATGAACATTTTAGCTTTCAATCATTACTCATAAATGTATATTAAATGTGAGCAATTAAACAAGATCGCTTTTGCTGCTACCATAAGTTAAAAATGATGATGATTAATTTTAAACCGAAACATTAGAAGCACGCTTGCGTATAGACGTCACGAGTACACTTTTTAAGTAGGTGAGTCTTTCATTAGTGTGCGATATTTGATACGACTCATCAAAGTTGGAAAATTTCGAGAGTTTCGACGAGAGTTATGATTGTGATTATTGGCGGTGCGGTATTTGATTTTTTATTGTTCTCACGCAGTTGTCGCGTCGACAAACGTTTTTCTGCTTTATCTAAATCCGTTGCGATTATATTATTAAAATTGATAAATCTCGTGAATATTAGGACTATTTACAATGACTGTTGTTCGTTAAATTGGAGTACGTATAACATTTTGGCACAGTTTTCAGAGAATAGTCAACGTACAATCACTACAACTATTGAAATATGCAAACGATTACAGCATTTACATTGTGATAAAAAATGATAACTTTTTCTCTCGTTTATTTACTGTGTATTACACAATGTGTTTAAATATGTTAAATTTGAAATATTTGTTACTATGGTATTATTTTCCAGCACTCCTACTTGTATATATAAGAAAAGTACCTACCTATTAATATGTAATTTATTATCTACTTAGGAACTGTTTTTAATAAGGGTTTTTGCTGATAGTAACATTTTTTTTCGTTTAATACGTAGCAGTACTTTCAACACACTAGAAAAGTATAATTTCTATTTATAAATAGGTGGAAGATAATTTGGGTAAACACAAAACTGGCAGGAGGCCAATATAATTAGCGATGCAATGCAGCGAAGATACAAAGAGTCTGAAGAAAATCAAATGAATTCAGTTTTTTTAAACAAAAAAAGAACAAAACAATAATGGTTGATGTGACGGATTTTATTATCGGTGGCCTGTCGGCTGGATGCGCTGGTTTTTTCAGTAATCCCTTAGACGTTCTAAAAACCCGGATGCAACTACAAGGAGAATTAAAAGCAAGAGGTCAGCACGCTGTTCACTATAAAAACGTTTTTCATGCGGCCATCGTTGTGACGAAAAACGATGGCATTTTAGGGTTGCAAAAGGGGGTGGTAGCAGCCGTCATTTTGCATTCAATCAGAAACTGTATTAGACTGGGACTGTACCAGACTGCATTAAAAAAGGGAATTCTCACAGATGAAAATGGAAAAACTGTTTTCTATAAGAGTTTCATCATCAGTTCCGTCTGTGGAGCTGCAGGCGCCTTCGTGGGAAGTCCCTTATTCCTGATAAAAACACAGTTGCAATCACAAGCCGTTCAACAAATCGCAGTTGGCTTTCAACACAATCATCGTGGAGCGATATCAGCATTAAAAACAATTTACAGTCAGCACGGGGTAAATACATCATAAATTGTACAATCCATTATTAAATCTTTCATTTTTCATTGATTTTAACGCATATCATTTATTTTTAAATTTTTCGGAAATCTAATCCTAAATTGAAACTAACACATAAAACTTAATAAACTCTTTTCTTTTCAAATTCTAATTGATTATTGCACATGCCTAACATGAGTTACTAATTATTGTTCATAAAAATTACATACATTTCGTTTTAGTTGCGTGGTTTATGGAGGGGAGCGAACGGTACAGTGATAAGAGCGGTGGCAGGTTCCTCTGCACAGTTAACATCTTTTCTGATGGCAAAAGATGCTCTAAGAGACGTGGCCTATTTAAAAAACAGACCTTACCTAATATCTTTTATTGCAAGTTTTATCGGAGGAGTTTTCCAAACGGTCGCTGTCACCCCGTTTGATCTCATATCGACGCGTCTCTATAATCAAGGTACTATCTCATAATATTCATCTTGTAATAGCCTGGGACACAAGAAAAACGGAAAAAAAGTGTTTCAATAACATATGTAAACCGCTTTTTCTTTGTTGTCTCAGATTGTAATACGTACACGTACGTAATATATTTAAAGTTCACTGTTCATTTAACTTTTAGTAAGATGAATAATAGACGGTATAACAAATAACTTTTACTTAAAAGGTATCGATGCTCAGGGAAGAGGTTTACTGTATAGCGGAGTTATTGACTGTTGCGTGAAGGTGTGGAAAACGGAAGGTTTCTTTGGCTTTTATAAAGGTGTCGGTGCAAATTACATGAGACTAGCGCCTCACTCAGTCCTAACGTTAGTTTTCTGGGATTACTTTAAAGAGTTACACAACGTATACTTAAGTAAACGAGAAATAGTAATTAGGCAAAAGCTGTAGCAGTTGTTATTGTAATAAATGCAAAAAATTAAATAAAACAATAAAATCTGTGCATTTTGTCTGTACACTTTAAAACAACTTGTATGAAGTAAATGCATTTGAGAAATTGTTAGGTCTTTGTAAATATATTTTTATTTATTGTTCGTGTTTTATTATATCCGACTGCATGCCATGAATTTTGTCATGTGATACGTAAAAGTCCCGAAACAGTTTTTAAAACTTTACGTTACTAATACGTGCGTGGTATTACCATAGGCATATTATAGAGCTGGATAACTAATACCTTTGGAAAGTTCAGTTCTGTACGTCTATAAGTCTATGAATACTACAGCCACCTGTTGAACGGAAAATAAATATATAATACAACTATCATTACTATGATTAAGATTTTACACACATGTATACAAAACAGTGTGTTTATATGCTTATTAATTTTGCCACAGTGCGTCACAGGTTTCGCGTTTGTTATTCTACTGTAGGGTTCATCGAACTTGAGTTAATTTTTTGCAATTTCTACAGAAAATGAAAACATTTTAAAAAGTTGCCAACATGTCACCGTGTTCTGCGTAAAAATAAAATTTGCGTTTGTAAGTGTGCCGAATAATTCTGATAAGGTGAAAGCGATTAAAATCTGTTAAGCTTGCAAATTATTATATACGTATTGTATTTGCATTAATAAATCACCTATTCACATATGCATACCTATAGGTATCTGTCCACCCCCGTCTAACGATGGTCTAATAACGTGTATGTACATAAGGGGAAGTTGTTTGCAACTGTGGTCTAGTCATGAACTGTGTACTTTCATCAGTATCAGACTATTTGGCTCTAAATCACTTAGCTTGTAGTGATTTTTACACAGTTTTAACTATGTAGATAATTGTTCGTTAAACGAAGAAAAGTATGTTCGTTGAAAATCCGTTTCTTTTAATTGGAGGAGTAATCATACCAACAACATGCACGATCTGTTTATGCAAGTTTTAAACAACAGGGATTTGTCCAGAGCTGGAGATTTATTTTCAGTGGCTGACAATGAAATTGTGAATGACTTAACTGAAGTGGTAGTTGTATTACCAATTTCTGCTCTTACTTAACTAAACACCTATATAGTACATTTTTAATTGTTTGGTATTTTGTAGCTTAATGAAATAACAATAATAGCATCTCTACCTGACTATGCTTACAATGACAATGATCAAAGTGTGGTAGAGATATGTGTAACAAGAGTAACATCCTGCATAAGGGAAACTGGCAGTGCCGAACAACATTGTGAGGCTCTTGTTAATCTCCTTGAATCTTGCCTCCATCACAATTTACAATTAACATCACGAGATGAAGATCCTCCTCATGCAAAAATTTCTAGTGATATCATTTCATGCATATTCTTGGTAAGTGTATGTTTTCGTTTCGTGTTGATAATGCTCATAAAAAAAGTTTACAAAACACATACCCATTATATTAAAATAGTTGTGGTTTTGGTATATAGGGGCGAATCTCTTTAACATAATCTTAATAGAAGGAGGAGACTGTGGTAAATATTAATTAAAAAATTAAAAGGAATACTCACCCCTAATTACCACAAATAATTTTATATGAGCGGACACGTGTTTCGCCCACTTCACACGTGGACATTATCTCGCGTTGATAATAACGTGTGAAGTGGGCGAAACGTGAGGGGTAAGTATTCCTTTTAATTTTTTAACATTATTCTTGTTTGTTATTGTATACTATTAGAGATACACACTGGTTGTTGGTATTTGAAAACATAGATACCTAATTGTTGTTAAATAATAATTTGTTGAGTAGTAAGTAGTTGAAAAATTATATTTTATTTATAAAATACATATAGTGTTTCAATACATGATTAATTTTTCAGAATTATGGTAAAAAATCTGTAATGCAACGAGCTCTTCCTGTAGCAGTGAAGTTTTTACATAAGGGCAATAAAGAGTTATCAAGAAACATGGCCTCCTACTTGTCCTTGGCTGCAATTGAATATGCTTCTTTACTAAGTCCTCATGTTCAACCAATTATGGATTCCATAATATCAGGTCATTTAAAAGATTCATATTGCAGTAATAGTATGAAAATAAGTAATATAAATATTTTGTAGGAAATTATCCCTTATGTAGAGTTCTAGCACAAATTTATGAGGTATTTCCAGAACCTTTGCTTGGCCATGCAATGGCTTTGGTATCTCTTCTTCCTCATTGTGATAATCAGGAAAAATTGGCTTTGCTGAATTTATTTACTTTAATCGCTGAAGACAATCCTTCAGTGAGTTTAAGATTACTTAAAGACGCACCTTTTACTTATTTTACATTGCTTTTAGCTGCTAGAAGCTAGTGTTCCTCAGCTTTGTGAGTACTTGAATAGTTCCACAACCGCCGCAGCAACATTGCAAGTGTTTTTAAACATGGCAAAAAAAAAGCCCACACTTCTAGCAGATCATGTCAATTCTCTCAAGTTGACAGCCCAAAGATTCCCCCACATCGTTTGTCTAGCTGCTCAAGTTATAAGTGCAGTAGGAAAATTAAGCAAAGTAATACACATGCAACAATGTAGCAGTAGTAGCATTTAAATCTGTTTGTTTTTTTTTTTATTTAGGATCGAGCTCAAGACGCTCTAAATTTTGTTTTGGAGCACTTACCAAAGGCTGACAGAGGTTCTCAAAACACATTACTACGAGAGGCCACTGTCTTATGCAGTTGTTATCCAGTATTATTTTCCGATAAAGTTTTAGCGGTTGTTAGATCCCGCAATACAAGGTATCTGGCTGACAACATAATTTCTGAAAGCGAAATAGAAATTTAATCCTAGAAAAATTAGAGTATAGTTTACTTCATTGAAAATCTTTCTGTTTAGCACAAATCAAAGTACCCTTACGTCGGTTCCTAGCCAGAGTAGTCAGATAACGTCTGGAGGTGTGACTATAGTCAAAGTAGGGGGGCCAATGCAAGTATCGCCGCCTGCTATCATACCTCAAGGGGGCTATACCCGCAGGGCCAAGCTGGGAGATTCCAGGAGTACAGGACGTTTGGCAAGCAACAGCAATACACATAGGAGCATGACAAGACTTAACATTGCAGGTAAGTTGTTAATTTCTACATCAAAAAATAATTATGAAATATTATGATGAAACTTTTACTTTATTAAGGCGGTTCAGTGGGAGGCCTTCACAAGAGCATGACACGTCTCAGTTCTTCCCAACAAATAAATACTCAACCTCTACAAAATACACAAGTCAATAATTCCAACAACGGCGTCGTTATTACAAGCATCACAAATAAATGGAATATCAATTCGAGCTCGAAAATATCCAGTGGAGGTGTTACTGTTACCACCATTGCTCCACCAAGAATCCAAAGGCCTTACAGTCAAGGACCTTTGACGCTTCTCAGTCCTGTTAGCTCAAATAATAGTACTCAACAGGTAGGTGTTGTACATACACGTGTATAATGTAAGAATGTATTTTTTTTGCCAGGTTGCTGTTAATTCACAAAATGCCACAAACACAGTTACAGTCAATTCAAATTACAGCAGCCCCGTTTCAAGCGGCCAGGTTTCTGTATTGACCAATACCACCCAGACTATTTCCGTTGGATCTCATTCCACCATTGAAACCACCAATACAAACGGAAATGTTGCACTTAATTCTGGTACATTTTTTGTACTTATAATTATTAATAGTTATTGCCATGTTTGTTGCTTTTGTTTACAGCTTCGAGCCACGTTAATATTTCAGGTCCGAGTACTATAACAACTCGTAGGGCAAACAACACAACTGTGACATTGCTGAATTCGAATCAGGGGGCAGCCTCTCAACGTATGAGTGTTTTCGAACCATATCCTATGCGCGATACGATTCAGCACTTTTGTGAAAAACACTTAGACAAGATAAAGGCCTATATGGACAAGGTATCGGCGAAAATTCCGCCTCCTGCCAAATGTACGATTGAAGAAAGAAGGCACAAGAAATCTGCCAAGTTGCATTTCGCGTGTCAGGCTCGTGGGCAGCACTGCTTATATTCAAAAACGTTTTTCACGATGCGCACGAGAAATCCTCGAATCTGGATACATCTCATGTTCATTGCTTTGCAGGTTTGTACATTAATCAACGCAATCGTTTTGTGTGTAAGGATTTAATTTGCTTAGGCCAGATCACCCCATGCATTGAGTTCTCGAGACGCCAGCGTTACCAGTTTAAAGCACTGTTGGGATATGCTAAAATGCGAAAATAAAACGTTTTTAACTTTGGTCACCAGCGCATTTCCTTGTACTAAAGATCAAGAAACATTACTAAACGAATTGAGAAATTCTGGATTTTTTGACGTCTTTCAGCTTTGCTCATCCTCCGCAACTGATTCAACTGAGCAAATTGTACACGACAACAAATTCCATTGGGGCTGTTTTTTGTGTGCGCATCCCGAAAGGGCAGTGGGATTTTTAAGGGGCAAGTATTACTACACCTTATTAAAAGAAAAAAAAAGTTGAGAGAAATAATAGATTGTATTTTTTATTGAAATAGGGGACACTCAACCTGTAATTGAGGGTCAATTAAAAGAGAAGAAGGGAAAATGGAAATTGTTTAGAAGATGGCGAACACGTTATTTTACCCTGTCGGGGGCCCATTTATCTATTAAAGGATCGGTTAGTAGAAGGTTTGATGCACATGCCACAAGTACTATATTCGATTGAATTTGTTTAGAGCGGGGGCGAAAGTATAGATATAAATCAAATAAGATCCGTCAAGGTATCAAGAGGCGCTCGAAACATTCCCAAGGCGTTTGAAATCTTCACCGGTACTCAGTCACTCATTTTGAAGCCCAAAGACGGAAAAAATGCTGAAGAATGGGTTCAGTGTTTAAGCATTGTCGTAGCACATTCTCATGCGAAAGAATTACCCGCCAAAAGCAACTCACTACCAGCAAGGGGACTGGGGACTAGTCGAACAGCACTTTAATTCATCCTACGACAAAATGGGGTCATCTCCGTTGTTTATGAAGAAAAACACTGGTATGAAATTACTTTATAAACACTGAACAAATTAAAATAACTCTAAAAGAGCATCCGTTGCTATCATAAAGGTTATAGTGAAGGAGAACGTACCTTATAGAAAGTTACATTAACGCATCTATCCTAGCTACAATTTACAGGTAGCACTGACGACAGTAAATTATTCCTGTTAAATTAGCAGCCCATTATAAAGTAAAATAAAACAACTAATTACCCTAATTTAACTCATTGCGACATAATTAAAAATTTATAGCAGACATTCCATAAATATCAATCAGGTCCAATTTCCCCTGTTTAGACATTTTCTATAAGTAGGCAACTGTTATGATAGCAAAATAGCATTTAAAAAAATTTATTTGTATAGTATTTTATATTATTTAAAATAATGTATTCTTACAAACTTATTCTCATCTCATATTTATGAACCACAAGGTAGAAGCAGCTTAATTATTATTTTAAATAAAGTTCTTATCAATGAAGAACGTTTAAGTTGTGTCAGTCTTGTGTTCCATTTGAAATACTCCGAAATATTTGTAGAAAATGCGTAAATTTGAAGAACACAATGTAACAATTTAGTTTAGTGTGCTTCAAAGAATTATTGCATTAATGTTTTCTTTACAATGCTATTTTGTTATCAAACAGGTACTAGAAAATGTATAAAATATTCAACATAATCCTTTATTTTGTTACGAAAATTGGCCCTTTGTATAGCTATTAAATAGGTGGAAGATAATTTGGGTAAACACAAAACTGGCAGGAGGCCAATATAATTAGCGATGCAATGCAGCGAAGATACAAAGAGTCTGAAGAAAATCAAATGAATTCAGTTTTTTTAAACAAAAAAAGAACAAAACAATAATGGTTGATGTGACGGATTTTATTATCGGTGGCCTGTCGGCTGGATGCGCTGGTTTTTTCAGTAATCCCTTAGACGTTCTAAAAACCCGGATGCAACTACAAGGAGAATTAAAAGCAAGAGGTCAGCACGCTGTTCACTATAAAAACGTTTTTCATGCGGCCATCGTTGTGACGAAAAACGATGGCATTTTAGGGTTGCAAAAGGGGGTGGTAGCAGCCGTCATTTTGCATTCAATCAGAAACTGTATTAGACTGGGACTGTACCAGACTGCATTAAAAAAGGGAATTCTCACAGATGAAAATGGAAAAACTGTTTTCTATAAGAGTTTCATCATCAGTTCCGTCTGTGGAGCTGCAGGCGCCTTCGTGGGAAGTCCCTTATTCCTGATAAAAACACAGTTGCAATCACAAGCCGTTCAACAAATCGCAGTTGGCTTTCAACACAATCATCGTGGAGCGATATCAGCATTAAAAACAATTTACAGTCAGCACGGGGTAAATACATCATAAATTGTACAATCCATTATTAAATCTTTCATTTTTCATTGATTTTAACGCATATCATTTATTTTTAAATTTTTCGGAAATCTAATCCTAAATTGAAACTAACACATAAAACTTAATAAACTCTTTTCTTTTCAAATTCTAATTGATTATTGCACATGCCTAACATGAGTTACTAATTATTGTTCATAAAAATTACATACATTTCGTTTTAGTTGCGTGGTTTATGGAGGGGAGCGAACGGTACAGTGATAAGAGCGGTGGCAGGTTCCTCTGCACAGTTAACATCTNTTATAGTAATTCGTCGGTGACGGACTATGTAGCTCTAATTAACATTTTTAAGGTAAGAAAAATAATTTAATTGCTACCATTACCCCCAGAGAATTGTTAGGTTTTTAAATATTTTAGTTGAGTTTGAAAGCCTGCATTAGGTTTGATACAACTTCTTGCTTGTTTAACTAATGCATATGCTTCTTCATAAGTATAGTTATTATGGAGAATCAAAAATCCTATTACTACTGTAGCAGATCTTGAGATCCCAGCGTTGCAATGAACTAAAGCTTTGCAGTTATTCTCAGTCACACTAGATAAAAACGGAATGCACACTTTAACCAATTTGTCTTTAATGTTAGTTTCTGGTAAGTCTAAACACGGAACAAATTCGTATACTACATCGGGATAATGGTTTGGAGCTTGTACACCAATACTGAGTACGTGAGTGATGCTGTGTTGATGTAGAACTTTATCTTCACAACAGTCTTGTGAACCCAAAAATATATTGTCTGTAATTTTTGAAGGAATATTGTCAGGCTTATAATCAATGACAAAACCGTACGTTTTCTGGTCTATTTCGGTCGTTTCGTTGAGGCTGCTATTTTCTTTAAATCTGCGACCATCAGGTTTTGTTACAATTGTTTCTGTAGTTTTCAAGAATTTCCTCTTTCTTCTAAGTTCTTCCAGGAAGCTCATGGAGGTAGGCGTGCAACACTTTACATTATCAATAAAAATTACAATTGCAATTAAGACTAACAAAAATTTAAATCGAAAACATGGTTAGAATATAAAAGAAAATATGAATACAACTGTTCTATGAGAAAATGTCTATTTTAGTTATCTACAGAACGCGATCGACTTCTCGATTTGCTTCTTTCCTTACTGGCAGAACGAGAACGTGAACGAGAGCGGGACCTGTCTTTGGATGGTTCTCGTGACCTGGACCTTTTGGATTCAGATGGGGACCTGGAACGGGACTTTGAACGTTCAGCAGATCGTTTCCTTGAATTTGAACGAGAATGATTTCTTTCTGGGGACTTTTTGCGAGAGTTAGATCTCGACCTCGATTTGGATTCACGCTCCTTTGAGGGGGTGTGCGATTTCGATTTTGACTTATACGATCGACTTCGGGAACGGGATCTCGACCTAGAACGGCTGTTTGAACCAGAACGGGACCGTGACTTCTTAGAACGGCTACGTGAACGACTTACACTGTATGAATAGGATCGCTTACGACCTTTGTTGCCCCTATCTTCAATTAGCTTAATTCGTCGACCGTTCAGTTCGGTATTGTCCAATTTTTCAATGGCATTTTTCATATCAGAATAATTGGCGAATTCGACGACGCCTTCGTTCTTGTGTTGTTTATGGGCATCGGCATATGTTACTTCTCCAGCCTGTCTCATATAATCTTTTAGATCTTGCCAGCTGATGCGAGAGGAGAGGTTTTCAACAATAACACGGTAGTTCGTGCGAGTGGGAGGTCCATACCTTTCATGGGAGCGGTGGTCGCTGCGGCTAGACCACTGGTCGCGACCTCTGGGTGTCCCTCTTGCCCGTTCGACAGTCACACGCTCCCCTAAAAGTTTTTTACCGTTTAATTCATAAACTGCATCGTCGGCATCACGATAATCATCAAATTCAACAAAGCCATAGCCATTTTTAATAAGAATATCACGCATACGGCCGTAGCCTCTAAAAAAACGCTCCAGATCTCGCTCGGTTGTCCTGTACGGCAGTCCTCCTACATAAACTCGTGAACCTACCATAATGTTTTGTTATAATTTAAACCTACTGTAATTTACTTTAATCTAGGGATCCAGGTTCTCTTTAAATTTTTGTCGATCCTCCGTTAAATAAGCTACTTCGCAAAGATAAAGACCATGTGCTGCAACAGTTTTAATTCGAGGATTCCACGACCGATGTGACGGAATTTCTATCATAAACTTTATATCTTTAGGAGTCACAATACCTTTTGCTACAGCAATCAACGATGCCACGGTTCGACGTACCTATACAAATAAGAAACAAAATTGTACTAAAAATCTACAAATACCTTTTCTGATGTTTAATTTACTGCGCGGAAGGCAGCCATTTTGGTACGTTTCCCTCCAGTCCAACCCGTCTAGTGAGGTTAAGAAACGTGTTGGAACAGTAAAAAAACCTAGTAAGTGCTCGATCGACTATCAAAAATAGGTATAGTAATAAAAATATATTTACTTTTTTCGCAAAACGACACTATATCACCAATACATGAACTTGCTACTAAAAAATAATAACTTGATCATCCACAGCTGCACACTTCTCCACAATAATATGGCGGAAGAATAATCGAGAGCTTCCATTGCTGCCAAAGCTTTGTTTTCTTTTTAATTTTTCATTTCAACTAAAGCTTAGGTACGTGTACATATGACAATTATTTTAAGAAAATCTCTCGTATTCGCATTTTTTAGCGTTATGTACATAAAAAAGGCTAACTTCGAAACAAGTGCCTTATTTTAACAACAATATAATTACACAAGTGCGTAAGAGCATTTTTCATTACATATGGCAACACTGCTTTAATTACGATAAAATCGCAGTCCGTTACGTGGCGCCACCATACTACGTAAAGCTTAATTATTATGAGGAAATTCAAAATAATTTTTTAAATTACGGAAATTTAAATATTAATCATAACTTACTTGCTTATATAAAAAACCAGTTGACTTGACGACCACTTCATAATATTTGTAGTTTAAAGTTGATGAGATGCAAGATGGATGCTTGTAAGTAGGAAGAGGCTTTTCATAAATTTCTAATTTCTCTATATTTCTTCTAGTAACTTTATTTGGGTGTAACGTCTCTCGCCCCATAAAACTCCTAAAGTCGTGCTCCCCCTCAAATAACTTGGCAGCCTTTTGAGCTGTATCTAAATCAAAGTCCTTAGCACTAAAGAAAAACAAATTAATAATTCCATTATTCTCAATTTTATTTCAACGTACCATATATATAAACATCTATCATAATCTTCAATTGGAATATATTCCGTTAAAATAGAATTTTTGTAATTATTTATCACTGCCAATTTATATAAATAGGTTCTTGAAATTGCATTGTAACGACAATGGAAAGTTGTTGGTACAATAAAAGTCTTCAGAATTCTTACAGGAACATTCACTTTATTAAAAAATTTATTAATGCCAAAGGTTATATGCTCCGGGTCAAATGCAGTTTTGTGGTGCTTTAGATCTACATGTACAGTGGAATTTATACAATGAACTCCCGCATCTGTTCTGAAAGTAACAAGAAATATTAATTTTTAAGCTCTTGATTTATATTGCTAGTACCTGCTTGATATGATAACTTGTGGTTCGTTGACGGGCCGTAACTTTTTNACAATACTTAAAATCGTCTTTAATTTTTTTTGCATCTCTCTTGCCTCATTTCTATACTTTATTATGTCAACTTCAAGAAAAAAAACTGACATACTTTCATAGGAGACTGGAAAATAAAATATTTTCTTTTGACTTTTTTTTGTCACTCTAATGTACACTGCGGCGAATTATCGCGACAACTGGTTCAGTTGTCATTCGTGAGATGAGTTTACCAGTGATCCTATATTGGTAATCATATAATCTCTTAATTTTCTTTAAAAAGTTTAGTAAAATGCAATTTTTCATATAGGTTATATTTTTTCAATTTTAGGTTAGAGAACTAAGCACAGATCATGAAGGAAGAAATTTAGACTTCAACCAATGGCAACGTTGTTCAATGGTCACATGACTTGAAGACCTCCCGTGTTTATTTTGGACTTCTAACCAGTTTCGACGTTTGAGATATTCACAAGATCAGAAGTAATCGAGAGTTGTGTCTGTGTTAATGTAATTATGTGTAACGGAGTAATACTTTTTTTTAGACTTATTCGACAGTGAACAGTGGCACAAAAAAATAGAAATTGTCTCGTAGTAATACTTCTTCACGATTCATTGTAGTATCGTATAAACCACCATGACAAAAATTCATGCGCCCTTGCGTTGTAATTTATAAAAATGCTGTTTTATCCGTTGAAAGTTAAAAATATCTGGGTTTTTAATGACTGAACTGAACTAAAACGGGAAGTGCAACTGTGCAATTTCGTTGAAGAGGCTTGAAATTAGGTATCTTCCACCGGCGTGATTTGTATTCATGCTAGGGGTTTTAAAGCGACGTTGGAAGCCCAAAAGGTAATTTTACAATATTTACATTTCTTTTTTTGGTTAAATATGACGTGTGAGAATCTTATTTTTATATATCTATTGATCCACGTTAGTGCAGTCTACTTGCACCGTTTTGCAGTTGTATTTCTTCAGCTGTTGTAGTAATAATAATAATAATAAGGGGTCAAACTTTTACACTAGCAGGAAGTCCGAACATATTAATTACGAAATTTATACTGTTCGTTGTTTAATAGGTATATATAACGATGGGTTATGCAAAGGTATTTTAAATCATAAAATAGAAAAATAGGTAGCTAGTTGGGTTTGTTCCTCAATTCAGTTAGAAAACAATAAGAGAACGCAACCAAAATGGTTTTGTATAAATGGTTTAAACTTGTAGATGGCGTTAGTGAGTAAACAATGTGATGTTGTGTAGTATAGATGTGGTGTAAGTGTTTCCTTTTAATTTGAATTTGATTGTTAAATATTCAATATTTAACTAATTGTTGTAATAAGAAGCTGTTCCGGTAAGTCTTGGTTACTTTTTTTTTTGAAAATTACAATCTGGAATAGATACTTACTTATTTATGTGTTTTTATAAGTTTTGACTGTTCCCGACAAGCGTCATTGAAAATGGCCGACGATTATTTTATGTATCTTACAATCAAATTATTATTAAACGTTAAATAGTAAAATCGATATCGATATTATCTCACTGTAATGCCAACTTTATGTTAATTGTATATTTACTTAAAATTGCTGCTCCTAAAAGAATTTACCTCATACCTATTCTACCTACCTAATACATTTTATCTCAACAATGTGACACGTTACTTACTATAAAAAAATATCGTATTAAATCTGCTAATTATTATTTTAACTTTTTGGCACAAAATGTAGATGCCTAATCCGGTTAAGAAGAATCTCACAAAATATAAAACGATTCTGTTGTTTACATTATTATGTGGTACCTATTTAAGTATATGAAAAGCGGCAATCATTATAGGTATTTAATTGGGTTTGATTGTAAAAAGGTACAATAAAATGACAATATGCACCACGTGATCTAGATTTCGGGGCAGAACGAAGATCACTTATTTACTGATTACAAGTTTAGCTATTTAACTCATGTTTCAGTGTCTTGGAGAGCGGCACCGAAGGGTCGACGAACTCCTGCAGCAGCAGGTCGAACTTCGGTGTTCGTACGCTCCAGACGGCGTGACGCCTCTTTCAGCGTGTCGTATAATTTCACTTCGTGAAATATATGCCAACTGGAAGTACCTTTCTTTTAAAAATGAGCTGTTTTTTTTTAATTGCCTGCGTAATATCTAGGTAGGTTTTTTCTTTTAATAGTTCATTTTTTGGAAATAAAATGGGTCAGTACGTAGGTACCGTACGTTGTTAAGTACCAAGTGTTATTATTATTAGAATTTTTAAAAATATTCTCTTCACTGTAAGTTAATTCTTATTTTAAAATGTTGGCGCGTGTTCAAAATCGAAACACTTGTCGACATTCGCTGTTGCCTTTTCATTAATTGCTTGTATTTTTGTTTCTTGAACCACGTCATCTGAAAATATCACCTAATAATCCTTCTCTAAAAACTTTCCTAAACTACCCAAACTCTCAAAAACTTTTGAACAAAGCGTAGCACCTCAAAATTAGATTTACCTATACAACTTTATTATTTGTATGTAAAGATCGCAAGAAGTATTTAAGTATACGAATTTTTCTATATCACGACGTATTTTTCAAAAAGGTGATGCTGATGTTTGATGATTGCATGTACGAGTAGAAAATTCTTATTCTTGTTTCTTAACTCGCCACTAGTGTATGCTACCGATTTAAAATAATCAAAAAGTCGTAAAATTACCGTATAAAAAGTTTACGATTAATTGTTTGTTTTAAATTTTTTAGGTTGCACTATCAATAAATGCAGATAAAAACATGGTACATTTACCATTACGTATTGTAATACATATTAAATGTGACTTGTTGACTGCACGTAATATTATAACAGGTACTTCGTGTCGTAAGTTATACATATGTACATTAGGGTGAGCCAAAAAAAAAAAAACGGACATTTCCAAAATCGAAAATCAGGTTTTTTTTTATTTTCTTTTTTCGTTGTTTTACTATTTTCTACAACAGAAAGATCGTGAAGCGACATCTGAGCATGAATGTACTCAACCGTCAATAACATTACAATACTTAAAATCGTCTTTAATTTTTTTTGCATCTCTCTTGCCTCATTTCTATACTTTATTATGTCAACTTCAAGAAAAAAAACTGACATACTTTCATAGGAGACTGGAAAATAAAATATTTTCTTTTGACTTTTTTTTGTCACTCTAATGTACACTGCGGCGAATTATCGCGACAACTGGTTCAGTTGTCATTCGTGAGATGAGTTTACCAGTGATCCTATATTGGTAATCATTTAAACTCTTATTAACCTTGTAAAATGAAAATTTTAAAAGAACGTAAAAATGGTTAAAGAAGGCGTTTTTCTTCTCTCACATTAGTTAATCTTTACAATTTCAGCTAAAAGAAATAGGTAGGTACTCAACAATATTGTAGATTTAGAAATTTGCTTCGAAATAGTTTTACTGCTAAAATTTTCCGTAATTAATCGTCAATGAGAGTGGTCTTAAATTTCGTTAGATATTTCATTTGTTTTTCTTAAATCATTCTGGTCGGAGCCACTCAAAGCTTTGTTGATTGCTTCTTGTATAAAACTGGACAAATACTGAGACACAACTGGACTAATGTCGTTCAGGAAATCGGCCACAACATCCGTCAAAAGCTCGCTAACAAGTTTACTGAAGTCTTCGTTATTTGTTAATCCGGTAATTTGTACCTATTTATGAAAAAAATAATCATTTTAGTCAGGGAATCGCTTTCGTAATTATAAAAATTTAAAAATAAAATAATAATAAATTTACATTAATACTTCCGATACTGTATCCCAGATTCAAGGTTTCAATTGATATAGGGTTTGATAAAGATACTTTGCCGTTTCCCGTAGCTTCAATGCCACTGACTTGCAAACTGGAATAAATTATTAAATAACAGTTATTAGCGGTAAGGACAATCAATTTTCATTAAGCATTACAAACTGTTATAGTAAGAAGGATTTATGTAGCTATGCAGTAATTTGCCACTAACCTTAGGTTACCCTTTCCGTAGATGGGAATAAACGAAATACTACCATCAATGTCATAGTCTGTTGTTAATTTTAATTCGGGAAGTTTTATGGTAAACGAGAGTGTTCGTCTTAATACAGAAAGTGACAGGGATGTAGCCACGAAGTCCGAAAATCCTCCAACATTTAAATTTGAAAGAACTCCGCTGAATCTAAAATACATTTTTTTTTTATTAGTACTTTTTGATATTTCTAACTTATTTATTTATGTTTATTTCTTACTTTATGTTAGAACGTTCAATGCTGATGTTCCTTTCTTCTACGCTTGCGGGGTCATAGGCGGCTAACTTTTCACTCAGGTCATTAAGAGTACTATTGATAAGGTTCGTTCCTGTCGCAAACACCTGGGGAGATGTTGGATTCTTTTTGTAATCTGAAATTAATTTAATAATGAAACATGTAGATTTTTATTGGATGATATGCACCCATATACACGGATAGGTACTTAAACAATCAGATGACATTATTACCTCTAAAGTCACTGTAATTTCAATAAGTAATTGTTTCTAATACGGTGTATTAAAAACCCTTAATTGTCGTAAAAATCTAGTAGAAATTAAATTACATGTCAATAAAAAAAGTCAATGAATTTGTTATTAAAAAAACCTGCAGGTATTGAAACAAAATCATTAATATCTTAACTTTTTTTTTTCCAGTAATTGCGGTTCGTTGAAAAGGTGTAATCTATCATCGTTCAGGTTGATAAAACATATTTTAACTACTTAAGTAAGGAATTTACATTTGCGATAGAAATATGTATACCTAATTCGAATAAAAATAAAACACTTAACGATTACACTGATCAAGATGGTTGACCGACCAACATAATGAATTGTTTTATAAAGAAGTAGGTACGCGATATAACTACTTGTCAACCATTTTTTACGTTTCCTAGCGCTGGCTTGGCTCGATTTTGCTCACTTATGCTGGCTAAAACATGTACAGGATACGTCGTGGGTATACTTTAGGTTTCACACGTAATATGCTCGAAATGTGTTCGTAAGAATTTACGGGATTGGCTCTCTGATTGTCGATTAAGTTCATCTTTTGCAATAGGAGAGAACAGGAGATTATTATTTCTGGTGAATAAAAGCGCAGGGTTCAACACCCACAATAAAAGAAAATGTCGTTAAGTAGGTACATTGGAAAAATACGAACTCAAGAACCTCAACCACACGATAAGCGCCATTCCTACAGCGTCCTTTCGGACGATTCTCGAAATTGTACGAAGAAGAGCAACCGTACAAGTTTGGATTTCGTTATTCCTCATTCGTCTGAACCTATCGAAAGCTTTAGTAGCACTTTTTGGCTCGCATCTCGAGGAATGAATATCTTTTAGTAAAGGGCACAAATGTAGTCGTTTTTGAAAACTTTAGGAAATCTCTTAAAGCTTTGAATATCTTAAAGAAATGTTCCCAAAAATTACAGATGAGTTAAAAATCCATGCTACAAATTTTCACTAATTTTCTAGGAAATGCCACATATGAAAAATTGTAAACGATACGATTGAAGCGTAAAATACACATTTTTAAATGTATCAAATTATGTATGTACTTATATGGTATATATAACTTACAGGCAGCCAAAGGTTTTAACTCGTTCAATTTTTCTAACGATTTTCTGATGTCTGATTCATAATCGTTAGCGCCAAAGGCAATATTGACGAAGGCGAGAATGAACACAAAACGAAACATTTTCTTGCACAATTAAAACACACTGTGGTTATGCGTATTCCAACAAGATTGCCTTTATATAACAGACATCCTATAGAAGCGCTTCAAATTTTTTCATTTTATCACGCCAGAAAAACACTCGATGTGTTATCATTTCAACTTTGCAACAATGAGAAAATATGACGATAATTTTGTGTTTATCGGAAAATCGTATTTACGATTTGTAAGTTCGAAAACACTTGGACGTTAAGTTTAAAAGTTAACAATAATGTTTATTCGTTAACCGTAAGTTCATATTAAACCTTACCCAATTCTACAATCGACATACGTACATACACACCTAGTTGGTTGTAAAGTTTGTTGTGTTATAGTAAATCCAACGAAACAATTTCAATCACGATCTTCCAGGATTTCTTTTTATAATAAACAGAATCTGGTTAACACGTATTTTTACATAATTTACCTTTTTTAGTTTAATTCGTGTTTGCGAAAATGCCTACAGTTCTCCTCTGCCCGTCTAATATGGGAGCAAAATTTAGATAATGCAGAAAACAAATGGAAGACCGATGGGTAATTTTAATTTTGTTCTTAAATTATCGTTAGCTCCAAGTATTGTACATTGTTGTGCTTACTCTGCAGGGCAAAAGCAATAAGTTGTGTGGTAATGAGGGGTTTGCTCGTTGTCGGGAGATATCTTAGCAAGAAAATAATAATAGTAATCGTAAAGGTTGCCGAGCGGCAGGATTCGTGCACGCTCCGGGTGAAAATAAAGTAAAACTAATTTTCTTTGCTTGACTATATTTTTACTAAGCGTCCAACGACTAAGTAAACGATACAATTATAAAAAAAAGGAATAGGATGATTGTCTATTCATTGCTGAAATGTAATTCCTAGGTACATTGATGCAACGTAAAGAGGTGGACGAATGCGTCGTGGCGAAGTACAGAATGAAATAACCTTGTAATAACGAATAAAAACGCGAAAAAGCACAATAAAGCATCGGCCTACACGTAACAAGACAGTACCATAAACTTGCATCCTACATGGTTGACTCGCGGACATGTGTTTTATCTGTGCCAGTTATTCTGGTGTACGTTCAAACTCTGCTTCTACGAATCTGCTTACGTTTAAAATAATGTCTACCTACTTAAGATTAGTTGCGATAATAGAAGATAGAAAACGAGGTATAATCATAATAATTCCGGCAAATTGTGGTAGATTAATTCGACGCTACGTGTTATCAAAAGTTAAAAATAGCTTTTAGGGTTAGGAGGCTTAGGTGTCCCGAAGAAAAAGAAAAAAAGAAATGAAACTTTTACTCTTGTCGCTTTGATGAAGAAACGTCTTAGAATTTAAGAGCAACGTCTTCAAATTACAAACAGATGCAGTTCAAGTTTAGTAGATAAATGTGGTATCTAATTGCATAATAATGTTAAGCTTTGCGGTGTAATAAGATAATCCTTAGGATAGGAGTCGACCACAAGCAGTCTTTCAGTAACGTTAACTAGTTAACTTAATGAAATTACCGATGACCAGCAGGTGCTCTTTCTTCTTAACTGGAATAGTGGTAAGTAACTAACTGGAAATGCGAATGCGCTGTTATTTTTATGGATTTGTTCGGCACGGGAACCAGTCTTCTGGTCTTTCTAAGTATTACATAGGTAGGTACGTACGGAGTAATTCTACCGGTCTTACAGTGCTGGTTTGCTTTATACGTCCAAACGCCCTGCAAGGTTAATTTTCTTCGAGGAAGTTGTCGTACAAACCATACCTGCAGCTGACTGAATTGAACTTGCATGTGTTGTATCACATATTTCGTACGGTTTAATATCCATACGTAATCCTTTACTTGTCAATCACTACTTTAAAAATCCCACAATAGGCCAAGTACTAAAATCTCACTGATTCATTCATATCGCGGATATTATTTGCTTTGGATTTTACGAGAGATATCGATGGATGGCGATGACCTGTTAAATATTTCTGTACCTATTTTCCTTTATTGACAATTGTGCATGTGCAGCTATGATCACTGATCACAGTCAATCATATTCCTTGACAAAATTAATGTAGCAGTAAGTCAAACGTATCCAATTATTGTCGATGATAACAATCTGGATAAGTAATAGTGTGAAATATGAAATTGATTAAAAAAAAGAGAGGAATTTAATGAGTAATTACGTGCACGGTGAACAGGAAGTTGCCTATGAGAGGTCTGGTCATGTTCTGTTAAAGGAACAAATTCAGTAAAAATCTGAAATTTTAGAAATATTGAAATCGTAGCTTCTGTAAGCCGCGCATTTGTGGTAGTACAATCTGAGTAGCGTACCTACGACACTATTGGAATGTTTTCCACGAATGCAATTTCGAGCATGTAGAAATAGATATGCAAAAATAGACGTACATACATTCGTATGAATCACTGCTCGAACGTTCACGCTCGTTTGTTTTCTGTTTTTGCATTATTATTAGAATATAATTCTGCCGTTGCGGATCACTTTCCTCACTCTCCTTTTTCCTTTTTATTTTGCATTGATATTACACGTATAATATATTATCAATTTATCGCTGCATCAAGGCCGATTTTTTGCGTTAATACTACAGTCAAGTCGTGAGCAAGACATCTGCAAGGCATTCACACTTTGTGGTAAGGTGACGATGTTATCGTCAACACTATTACAGGATCCGCAGCGAACATGTGCGCATTCGTGAAAATTGCGATTGTTTTGAACGAGGAAGAAGAAATATTGTTTTCTAAAACTCTTCTGCGATATTGGATTCGATTCGCCCTACATCGACAGTCTTGATCGTCTTAAAAATGATCGCCACGATCATGACCGCGGCTTGACTTGACCGTGTCCTTCCAATGAGAATGAAATTGTTGACTCGGCCGTGACTGAACTTTGCCCATCACGTTTAATGTGAATCGGACTTTAGCCTGATAAAAAGTAACCGTTCTCCAGAAAGAGACAGTAGTTAGATTGCGAATTGAGAAATACCCATGGTTATGCTGTATCCCTTCGTCCTTTGGACGGGATCAACTAGATGTGTAAGTATAATGTGGTGCTCTCAAAAATTTAACGGATAGTCAGCTACACGAATATTATAGAGTTTAATGTAATTCTAATATTCTGCCGAAACAACACGGTCAAGTCTCAATAAAAAGTAGTGAAACCGAGCCTACTGTTATATTAATTTAAATAAGTGTTGATTCACAAAGTTTTCGATTATAATTGATATATTGGTTGATGTGTATGCAATNCCATTTTGGTACGTTTCCCTCCAGTCCAACCCGTCTAGTGAGGTTAAGAAACGTGTTGGAACAGTAAAAAAACCTAGTAAGTGCTCGATCGACTATCAAAAATAGGTATAGTAATAAAAATATATTTACTTTTTTCGCAAAACGACACTATATCACCAATACATGAACTTGCTACTAAAAAATAATAACTTGATCATCCACAGCTGCACACTTCTCCACAATAATATGGCGGAAGAATAATCGAGAGCTTCCATTGCTGCCAAAGCTTTGTTTTCTTTTTAATTTTTCATTTCAACTAAAGCTTAGGTACGTGTACATATGACAATTATTTTAAGAAAATCTCTCGTATTCGCATTTTTTAGCGTTATGTACATAAAAAAGGCTAACTTCGAAACAAGTGCCTTATTTTAACAACAATATAATTACACAAGTGCGTAAGAGCATTTTTCATTACATATGGCAACACTGCTTTAATTACGATAAAATCGCAGTCCGTTACGTGGCGCCACCATACTACGTAAAGCTTAATTATTATGAGGAAATTCAAAATAATTTTTTAAATTACGGAAATTTAAATATTAATCATAACTTACTTGCTTATATAAAAAACCAGTTGACTTGACGACCACTTCATAATATTTGTAGTTTAAAGTTGATGAGATGCAAGATGGATGCTTGTAAGTAGGAAGAGGCTTTTCATAAATTTCTAATTTCTCTATATTTCTTCTAGTAACTTTATTTGGGTGTAACGTCTCTCGCCCCATAAAACTCCTAAAGTCGTGCTCCCCCTCAAATAACTTGGCAGCCTTTTGAGCTGTATCTAAATCAAAGTCCTTAGCACTAAAGAAAAACAAATTAATAATTCCATTATTCTCAATTTTATTTCAACGTACCATATATATAAACATCTATCATAATCTTCAATTGGAATATATTCCGTTAAAATAGAATTTTTGTAATTATTTATCACTGCCAATTTATATAAATAGGTTCTTGAAATTGCATTGTAACGACAATGGAAAGTTGTTGGTACAATAAAAGTCTTCAGAATTCTTACAGGAACATTCACTTTATTAAAAAATTTATTAATGCCAAAGGTTATATGCTCCGGGTCAAATGCAGTTTTGTGGTGCTTTAGATCTACATGTACAGTGGAATTTATACAATGAACTCCCGCATCTGTTCTGAAAGTAACAAGAAATATTAATTTTTAAGCTCTTGATTTATATTGCTAGTACCTGCTTGATATGATAACTTGTGGTTCGTTGACGGGCCGTAACTTTTTTAAACCTATTTCAAGTAATCCTTGTACAGTATTGAGATCATCTGTTCTACCATTTGAAGCTATAATTTGACGTTGTACCCCCCTAAAAATATTAAAGTTTATTTTTGTTTCGCTAGAATAGAGTTGAATTTATTGTACTTAAAAGAAGTTCCAATGTACGATACGTGTAGTAAATATCTTAACATTTTCTTTAAAAAGTTTAGTAAAATGCAATTTTTCATATAGGTTATATTTTTTCAATTTTAGGTTAGAGAACTAAGCACAGATCATGAAGGAAGAAATTTAGACTTCAACCAATGGCAACGTTGTTCAATGGTCACATGACTTGAAGACCTCCCGTGTTTATTTTGGACTTCTAACCAGTTTCGACGTTTGAGATATTCACAAGATCAGAAGTAATCGAGAGTTGTGTCTGTGTTAATGTAATTATGTGTAACGGAGTAATACTTTTTTTTAGACTTATTCGACAGTGAACAGTGGCACAAAAAAATAGAAATTGTCTCGTAGTAATACTTCTTCACGATTCATTGTAGTATCGTATAAACCACCATGACAAAAATTCATGCGCCCTTGCGTTGTAATTTATAAAAATGCTGTTTTATCCGTTGAAAGTTAAAAATATCTGGGTTTTTAATGACTGAACTGAACTAAAACGGGAAGTGCAACTGTGCAATTTCGTTGAAGAGGCTTGAAATTAGGTATCTTCCACCGGCGTGATTTGTATTCATGCTAGGGGTTTTAAAGCGACGTTGGAAGCCCAAAAGGTAATTTTACAATATTTACATTTCTTTTTTTGGTTAAATATGACGTGTGAGAATCTTATTTTTATATATCTATTGATCCACGTTAGTGCAGTCTACTTGCACCGTTTTGCAGTTGTATTTCTTCAGCTGTTGTAGTAATAATAATAATAATAAGGGGTCAAACTTTTACACTAGCAGGAAGTCCGAACATATTAATTACGAAATTTATACTGTTCGTTGTTTAATAGGTATATATAACGATGGGTTATGCAAAGGTATTTTAAATCATAAAATAGAAAAATAGGTAGCTAGTTGGGTTTGTTCCTCAATTCAGTTAGAAAACAATAAGAGAACGCAACCAAAATGGTTTTGTATAAATGGTTTAAACTTGTAGATGGCGTTAGTGAGTAAACAATGTGATGTTGTGTAGTATAGATGTGGTGTAAGTGTTTCCTTTTAATTTGAATTTGATTGTTAAATATTCAATATTTAACTAATTGTTGTAATAAGAAGCTGTTCCGGTAAGTCTTGGTTACTTTTTTTTTTGAAAATTACAATCTGGAATAGATACTTACTTATTTATGTGTTTTTATAAGTTTTGACTGTTCCCGACAAGCGTCATTGAAAATGGCCGACGATTATTTTATGTATCTTACAATCAAATTATTATTAAACGTTAAATAGTAAAATCGATATCGATATTATCTCACTGTAATGCCAACTTTATGTTAATTGTATATTTACTTAAAATTGCTGCTCCTAAAAGAATTTACCTCATACCTATTCTACCTACCTAATACATTTTATCTCAACAATGTGACACGTTACTTACTATAAAAAAATATCGTATTAAATCTGCTAATTATTATTTTAACTTTTTGGCACAAAATGTAGATGCCTAATCCGGTTAAGAAGAATCTCACAAAATATAAAACGATTCTGTTGTTTACATTATTATGTGGTACCTATTTAAGTATATGAAAAGCGGCAATCATTATAGGTATTTAATTGGGTTTGATTGTAAAAAGGTACAATAAAATGACAATATGCACCACGTGATCTAGATTTCGGGGCAGAACGAAGATCACTTATTTACTGATTACAAGTTTAGCTATTTAACTCATGTTTCAGTGTCTTGGAGAGCGGCACCGAAGGGTCGACGAACTCCTGCAGCAGCAGGTCGAACTTCGGTGTTCGTACGCTCCAGACGGCGTGACGCCTCTTTCAGCGTGTCGTATAATTTCACTTCGTGAAATATATGCCAACTGGAAGTACCTTTCTTTTAAAAATGAGCTGTTTTTTTTTAATTGCCTGCGTAATATCTAGGTAGGTTTTTTCTTTTAATAGTTCATTTTTTGGAAATAAAATGGGTCAGTACGTAGGTACCGTACGTTGTTAAGTACCAAGTGTTATTATTATTAGAATTTTTAAAAATATTCTCTTCACTGTAAGTTAATTCTTATTTTAAAATGTTGGCGCGTGTTCAAAATCGAAACACTTGTCGACATTCGCTGTTGCCTTTTCATTAATTGCTTGTATTTTTGTTTCTTGAACCACGTCATCTGAAAATATCACCTAATAATCCTTCTCTAAAAACTTTCCTAAACTACCCAAACTCTCAAAAACGCTGA